CGAACTTTCTCCATCTTCCTTCTCATCCAGGATCTCTCTCTCTCTCTCTCTTTTTTTTATTTCTTTTTTTATTATTATTATTATTATCTCTTTCTCTCTTTCTCTCTCTCTCTCTCTCTCTCTCTCTCTCTCTCTCTCTCTGTCTCGACGGATTAGTGGCAATAGTAGTGAGAAAGTAGTCGAGATAATGATTTAAAAATTATTTCAAAAAGAAACAAATCACGCGTTAATAATACTATTTTCATTTTTAATCACATTCCTAATCACGAGGAAGAAAGCGACAAGGTTCAGCGGGAAGGGGAAAAAGAGCAGAGTGAAGGGTGACAGTTCGTATAAAATCTATCGATCCCAATCTAGATTTTTTAATTTCCAATAACAATAAAGGCGTCCTTAACGTCTGGCTAGAGAATCCAATCGTCTTTCGTTTTATTCACGATGATCCTTAAATGCATCTTGGTAACGCGATACCGAAGCAGAGGAGCATCGCGAACCGATAAGCTTTCTTCGACCACTTCTCACTTCTCATGGGGGAGGATCGTTGGCTTCTCGAGTTTCCCGTTTAGCCGCATGCCGGTAAATTCGTCGTTGTCGTGCGATGGAAACGGTGGTCCGCCTACCTCGCCCATTTCTTCTTTTTGTTTTTTCTTTTATTTCTTATTTTTGTATCTCTTTTTCTCCTTTAATTTTTCTTTTCTTTTCTTTTCTTTTCTTTTCTTTTTTCTTTTTTCTTTTTTCTTTTTCTTTTTTTCTTCTCGTTCTTTTTTTCTTCCTCCTTTTTGCAGGATCACATTTCTCTTTCTCTCTTTATCTCGAGGGCGACTTCTCGGACGTTTTACCTGGCCGATATACATACATACATACATACATACATACATACATACATACATACATACATACATACATACATACATACATACATACATACATACATGTATGCATGCATTCATGCATACATGCATACATATATACATGCATAACTCGTTGAAGAAGAACGAACGAGGGTCGTTGGAGGCGCGAGAAGCAATATGCAGATTTTAACGTCGAGAGTGACCTTTGTCGGTCGTTGCACGTCCCGACCGATAGCTCCGGTACACTCACACTCGTTCTCTCTCTCTCTCTCTATCTCTCTTTCTTTCTTTCTTTCTTTTTCTCTTTCTCTTACATTCTGTTTCTACCATGGACCAAACGAGAAGGTGCATACCAGAACCGGCGCAGTCTCCAACAAGAAGAAAGAGAACGAACAGAAGAGACAGAAAGAGAAAGAGAGAGAGAGAGAGAGAGAGAGAGAGAGAGAGAGAGATTTCTTATCGTCCGGCCATTCGCTTTATCCGCCCAGACCGGGAATAGGAACCGATTAAGGAGTCGATGTCCGCCCTTTCTTTTCTTCCTCTCTTTCCTCTTCTCTTTCCACTTATCCCTTCCCTCTGTACTTGCCACTTCTTTTTCCTCCGCTCGCTTTTACCTAGGACCTTTTTTTTTCTTTTTTTTTTTTTTAAATTTATTTATTCATAACAACGACAAAAAGAAAATTCTTAAGAATTATATATATGTGTATATATATATATATTTTTTTTTTTTTTTTTTTTTAATATAATCAATTTTATTGCTTCCTAATTATAGGAAGGAACAGGATTGATTGATCGTGCAATGACGAAAGGTAATTAACCTTCCTTTTTAAAATGTCAATGCGCGTCCCCTTAAGCATAGCCGCGTAAACATGGCTGATCTTTCTTTCTGACTCGCACTACTCCTGCCTTTGAGATCGATCGATAACCGTCCGAAGGATCTCTCTTCGAGTGAGGAGGTCGTTTACCGTGTTGCTTGGTATAAGCGCGATCGTTCACGAGAGATCCTGAATTCCTGATGATTACGATGAGGAGTCCTCGAAAGGTGGCTCTCACGTTTTCAACTGCGTGCTGGATCGCGGAAAGCAAAGGAGAGAGAATCGTCTCGATCGCATGGCAACGTGCATGGACGATCACGTTTCGGTCGGTCTCTTCTTCGTCTTTTCCGTCATATTGTATACTTCGACTCTCTCCCTCTCTCTCTGTCTCTCTCTCTCTCTCTCTGTGCCTGTCTCTGTGTATCTCTCTCTCTCTTTCTCTCTCTTTATCTTTCTCTTTCTTTCTCTCTCTCTCTCTCTCTCTCTCTCTCTCTCTCTCTTTTACGAGTACGTTTTATACCAAAGGGAAAGTGGCTCGGCCCTAAGTTCTTACATTCGTGCGAATGTACGCTAATAGCCGTTTCAATGTAACCAAATTTTATATGTTAAGTAGATCATACCAAGCGTCCTGGTCGAACGATCTCTTTCTTATGCACCTGCGAAAGTCGCTCGTTGCCATCCTCGAGCGGTGTGTGGTGTAGCCTTTCAGTCAGGCCAAAAACGTAACAACCAGAAATAAATGAAAAGAAAAAGGAAGGATGAAAGACGAAGAAAATAAGAAATAAATGAATTGAGAAAAAAAGGATCGCATGATTTTGCGAATGTTTGAGGGGAGAATATACAAAGTCTCTCTTTCTCGTCAAGTCCCGGCCGAATATTTATTTGCACCTGCACGAATGAAAGAAAAAGAAAGAGAGTGGTCTGTCAAAAGAGATCGACCCTTTAAAGAAAAAAAGAAAAAAAGAGAAAAAGAGAAAAAAAAAGAGAGAGAGAGAGAGAGAGAGAGAGAGAAAAAAAAAACACGTATTCCCACACACCCGTCGTTATATAATAATCTTCGAACGTTGTTATATCACGTTTGATATCCGACAAAATACTTAACGATCGTTCCAAAGAATGTTTATTTTTATTTTTATTTCATTTCATTTCATTTCACTTCATTCTTCTTTACGATTATTCTCGTATCGATGAAAGAAAAAAAAAAAAAGAAAAAAAAAAAAGAACCAAGAAAAAAAGAAAATTACACTTGCTACATACGATATAAATGCCTGCGTATCGAAAGGTGAAAAAAAAGAAAAAAAGAAAAAAAAAAAAAAAAAAAAAAGGATAGATCTGATCGAATAATTTCCCGATTAGATATAGCAATTAATCGCTTAGGAACGGTATGACGTTTAGTTTTCGTTGGATCGAAATGGTTTGCATTGCAATCGGCTATTTCGTTTAATCGATCGATCTAATACTTAGTTATTTACTTATTTTTACATACTTGACTTGCTGCACGTGATTTGCTCTTAAACCGCCCTTCCAACGATCTCTTGGCACGTGAGCCAATACGAGGAAAGAAGAGAAAAGATAAGAAATCTCTTATAAGGTGAGCCGCGTGCGTAAGGGCAACAGGTCGTTGCCTCCTCTTCTAACTTGCTAACACGTTAAAGACACTTTCCTGGAGCTAAATCTTGCGGTTACTTACTCTCTCTCTCTCTCTCCCCCTCTCTCTTTTTTTACTTCTCTCTTTCTCTTTCTTTCTCTATCCTCTTCATCCATAGGCGCGCCTTTTCTTCTTCTCTTTGGTAAGACCCGAGCCTTACCAAAGCCAACCTGGGAAATCACTTTTACTTTCGTCGATCACCCGTCGTCGATCGCAACACCGTCATAAACAGCTCGTTCACAAACATTCGTGTCCTTCGTAATATGCCGAAGGACATTTCCCGATAGTTTTTCCCAGATTATGGGAGCACCGAACCACGTATATATATATATATATATATATATATATATATATATATATCCCTACGATGTTCATTGTAACGTTGTACTACTTTCGAACTTAGAAAGAAGAACAACAACAAAAAAAAAGAAAAAAGAAAAAAAAAGAAAAGAAAAGAAAGAAGAGAAACGATTGTCAAACGGTACGATTTTGTATTTTCTGTACGGATTTGACATACGAAAGAGAGTAAGATAGAAAGGGAGAAAAAAGGAAATGGTTTTAAATCTATGCAGATATATTTATACGACAGAGTTCAGGTTCAGGTAAGATGGTGCGTACCTGTTTAGTTTAAAAAATCGAAAATTTCCTTAGATCGACAAATTCTTTCCTTCCTTTTCCCCGCCGCCCATCCCTCTCTCTCCTCTCTCTCTTTCTCTCTCTCTCTTTCTCTCTCTCTCTCTCCCTCTCTCTCTCTCTCCCCCATAGGCGTCGAATCCAACGACATTTAAAAGATCAACGTGACATCTATCGTGTACGATAATATTTAAAGAAAGAAATTTAGAAATCGTACGTATGTATTTCTACCAAATGAAATGTAATACGTACACTTGGATTGATAAATCCAAAATATCTTTATCTCTTGATAAATATTTATTTTTCTTTCTGTTTTCGTTTCTTTCGTTTCTTTCTTTTTTTTTTTTTTGTTTTCGTTTCACTAAGAAAATCTAAGAATACATATGAACGAAATATAATCCGTGCACTTGGAATTGATAAATATTTATTTTTCTTCTTTTTTTTTTTTTCTTTTCCTTTTTTTTTTCTTTTTTTTTTCTTTTCTCTCTTTTTCCTTTTGCTAAGACAATCTAAGAATACATAAATTTTTTTTTTCCCTTCACGAACGAATATAAAATTTTTTTTTTTACGTAGAATCGTCAATGCATTCCAGATCAGATCTATTCAGAGGATATCTTATATTCATGGGATACGTCTTATCATTGATTTAACAGTCAAATTGTTCTAATATTATCTCGAACGACGATTCGTTAAACGCATTTCGTTCGATGTCGTCGTCGTAGTTGGATCGTCTTTTTCTTACGCGAGAGGACAAAAAGAATCGGATTAAAAAAAAAAATTTTTAAATAATAAAAAATAAAAAGAACAAGAAAAACGTTTGTGAAAATATTCGACGTATATGTATCACGTGAAGTCAGTTCGAAGATTCTTTCTGTTTTTTTTCTTTTTTTTTTTACTTTTCTTTGTTTTTTCTTTCTTTTTTCGGCGAGGAAGAAAAAAATCAACCATCATAGTTCGTCTTTCGTAAGAATTTGTTCACTTAAAAATTGATTTATTCGTAACGATACAAGAAAGAAGGGAGACGGCAATATATATATATATATATATATATATATATATCTCTTTTCAAAATTCCCGCGCGTCGAATTTGTTTCATTGAAAGTTCTTCTTCGGCGCTGAAGTCGTCCACTGTTACGTAAAGTTTAATGTCGGCGATCGTCAAGGCGTCATCCATCAGGTAAGTTTTTATATTATCTCTTATATCTCTAATTTTCATTCGTTATTGTTATCTGTTAAATATTTCTCACGTATTACGTGAGTATCGCAGTTACGTTTTAAGATTGATATCGTCAAAAGTGTCAATGAAACTTTGAATTCGAATCACATGATATATCTTATTCTTACGAACTACGATGAATTCCATAGAAGAAGGATCACGTGACGATTGGTATCTTATTCCACGAACTATATATTGCACGTAGAGGCAGATTCCACTTTGTTTTTCATCATCATTTTCTTTTTTTTTTTTTCTTACTTTCTTTCCGTCTTTCCATTTTTTTTCCATCCCTTTTTGATCCCTTTTAAGAATAATAAGTACGATTCTTATCTTTCGTATCGAGAATTTGTAGATATATATATAAAAAAAAAAAAAAAAAAAAAAAAAAGAAAAAAAAAGAGAAAAAAAAATAAAAAAAAATAAAATAAAAGAAGAAGGGATAGAAAAAAAGGAATCGTTCATAATCGAAATTATCGTTAACGAGCGAAGCGAAACGACGAGAGGAGTGCTTTCTTAGTGGGGAAAAAAAAAAAAATAAAAAAATAAAAAAATAAAAAAAAAAAAGAAAATAAAAAAGAAAAAAAAAGAAATAAAAAAGAGAGGGAGAAAAAAAGAATTAATCGGTGTTTCGAATTAGCGACGTATTTGTCGGCACGTGTTATAGCACGTGTCGGCCTATATCGGGTAACCGCAGCACCGGATCGTTTCTCGTCCTCTCTTCGCGTTGCACGTGAGCGAATCTTGATAATCCGATAAGTTCATACGCGCTCATTCGCTCATGGAGAAAGGTAATTATCATTCGTCTCTATCGTATGCGATTTCTGGGATACCGCGATTACCATTAGCATCGACATCCTGTTCTTACGTAATTTGTTTGTACATTCCTCCTCTTCTTCATCCTCATCTTCATCCATCATCCTTTTTCCTCCTCTTTCTCCTCCTCCTCCTCCTCCTCCTCCTCTCCTTCTCCTTCTCCTTCATTGCACTTTGCATAACAGCGTAAGTGCAATGACACTTATCGAGTATGAAACAAAAACAATTTTTTCACATTTTACAGATAATCATCGTTATAAAGAGTAATAGAGGATTTCAATCGGGATATCTTGGAACGTTTAAGATGGTTACGATCATATTAATTTTCATATTGCTAATGATCCTTTATTACATGATTCGCAAGAGATATCGTTTACCACCTGGCCCTTGGTGCTTACCAATTGTTGGTTATTTGCCATGGATCGATCCAGAAGCACCGCATGAGACATTTACCGAATTGATATACAAATATGGTCCGATCTGTGGATTGAAATTGGGTTCTGTATACACTGTACTTTTGTCGGATCCTCGTCTGATACGACAAGTACTTGCCAAGGATGCATTCTGTGGACGGGCACCCCTTTACTTGACGCACGGCATAATGAGTGGTCATGGTGAGTTTCTATTTGATAAATAATATATAAACGAAAAAAAAAGTAGAAGAAAAAATATCATCATCATTGTGAATTCTCTTTCGAATCGATTAGGAAAGATTAGGAAAGGGAAGGGGGTTAAGAAAATTAACGGGGGAAAAAAAAGAAAAAAAAGAAAAAAAAAAAAAAGAAAGAAAAAAAAGTAAGAAATTAAGAAAGAAAGGAAAATAAACGGAAAGTTTTCTTGCGAGCCATATTGACTGATAACTTTGAAGAAAGAGATCGTAAACGGAAGGTAAAGGACTGTCCCAGACGGTCGTTTGACTCGATTACGAATCGCCTCGCGCGTCGTAAAGCGCGAGCGACCGTCTCGCCAAGAGAGAGAGAGAGAGAGAGAGAGAGAGAGAGAGAGAGAGAGAGAGAGAGAGAGAAGAGAGAGAGAGAGAAAGAGAGAGAGAGAGAAAGAAAGAGAGAGAGAGAAAACCGGTAACAATAAGACAACCGGTTACAATGGAAGGGCAGGCGGGTGTTGTAGGACGTAACGGTTCCTCTAACGAAGGAAGTCGACGCGGGCCAACTAACCTACTAAACCCGAAATGAAAAAAAAAAAAGAAAAATAATGTAGTATATATATATATATATATATATATATATATATATATATATACATATATGCGTGAGTAGGTATATGCTTATGGTGCGTCAACGTCGCGTGCGAGCCAAGAGCGGAGGCGAGGTTTAGGATCTATAAAGAAACTGACGACGCGCGTCGAAATGAAACGAGGTCGTTTCGTGTCCGTCCAAAGGATTTACAGCGTTTCCAGAAAGCCGTCTCCGGGGTCTTTCTTTTTCGAACAAAGAGAGTATCGCTTCCGCGAGCACTTAACGCGTGTGCACAGTGAAAGTTCACCTCTCCTCCTCTTACTCCTTTTCA